GGCTGGCACTGTCCGAAAATGCTTTCGACCGCTCGTTGATTCTTCTCACCCACCTTTCACAAGGAGCTTCTGATCGAGTTTTCTAAACCTCTAGTAGTCGGTCACCATACTTGAAATTCTTACCTCATGGTCCACAGTTTGTGATCAACAGATTCAGACGAGACATTTCACTTAGCACATTACGTGAACTACTGTTGTTCGAACGAGGTTTCTCTAGCAGAGCGGGATGGACTCTCCGTTCTTCTTTGGATAAGTTCTGCAGAAACATCATATACATAAGTTCTCAGCAGATTCCTATTCAGTATTTAAATGGAATCTATTGAAGTTGAATCCAAGAACAGCGCGAGTTTATTTCGTCTCCGGGGAAAATGTCGTGGTTTGTATCCTTGAGCTACACATCTAGAAAATCTACTCTTGGAATCAGACACTCTTGGGTCAGGAGTGCCACCTCCGCCTGTAAATCTCTGTACCCTGTAGGTTGCAAACGCCGAAAATGCTGAAGTAACAGAGGTGGCGTCGATTCGGAATGTCTTTTTCTGGACGAGGGATGTTGCGTGGGAAAGTTACACGTTCCAGTTCTCGATGAAGTTCATTAATCACTTTGAATCAAAAGACATTTAGCCTGAGAAAAGAAAATCAGTGTCTCGACAGAATTGTGTAGCAAAGCCACACATTCAGGTAGAAAATGCTCGAGGTCATTGTCCAATTAGCATTTTAATTTTCCGGCATTTTCTTATTCCGATGATCAGATTATAAAAATGTCGCTCAAGTCAAAGGAAATGTCATTCACCTTTCATTCGAAGCCATGGCTTCGAATCACCAAGAAGCTTAATTTGTATCAAGACAAAACGTCGTCTTCCACGCTCTCCCTGTGAACACAAAATGGTAACGTTATTTCAAGCGCCTGAAGAATTACTTTTGACCAAAATGTACAGACCAAATGAACCTCAGTGACTACACTTTCTTGTAGTGCAACTGACACTTCACGGACCGTATTAGATTCAAGTTTGATCGTATGAAAATGGCAGACTACAGGCAGAGTACATAAAATGCACTATGCAGTTAACATTAGTTGATCAAGACATGACTGCAGGTTCTTTATCTTTCCCAAGTGCTCGTGTTCAAACCTCCTTGATTTAACTTGCATAAGTTCAGAATTCATGCTTTTATCTTGTGTTATCGCATGTTTGTGGATTATAACTAAGAATGACTATTAACGTGAAAATGTGGTACATTCATTAGGAGATTGCACTAAGCTGATACGTGTTATTTTCTGTTTCTGTTATTGAATTGACACAATTGTTGATTTTAGTTTGCGCTGGAGACTTGCTCGAACTTGTTCACTGTCCTCCTGCAGTGAAATTACTTCTACTGAGTGTACCTGATTGGAATTCGGAGGAATCTGTCCTTCAGTCTAAGACATGAACAGAGCCGTCACCGACGGTTGAGAATAGATCAAATTTAGCGGAATTGGTCGCATAAGTGCACTGCATATTCAGTGAGGGAGCACACCATGATTACAGGAATTAAAACATATTGTTGCATCTAGTCATTGTTTCTGTAGATTGAACATTTACGATATCGCTATTTCAGCTGCCAGTTTTAATCGTAACTTATTACATTTAAGCCTGCAGTTTACTTGAACATTTCATGATCAAAGAGCACTTTAATGTCCACATCATAATCAAACCAGATGTGCATTCTCGAGAGCAGAGACCATACAACAAAAGAGTTGAGAAAGTTATGAAGAAACGGAAAACGTTTAACACGTTGGGATTTACAATTTATTTGTGTGCTGATCTGGAATTAACAAACTTCAAGCATCTGATGATGAATTGCCAACCATAGGAAAGCCACAAATGGAAATAATGAATTTTCAGGAAGAATCCCATGAGATTGAGAACCTAATCCCCTTTCGTTCAAAAGAAAATACACAGAAGCTGACCTATAAAATCCTTTGAAGAAAAAATGGCCCTCATCAGATTTCTGACTCTCATGAGATCTAAATTCAAGCGTAAATTTGATGTTCTGAAACGATGATAAATGTGAAGTGCACTTCTTATGAGCACCTTCTTTAAGACAATGATGTACAGCTCAAGCTTGAAGATGTCTACTGTTTTAAGCCCTCATCGATCATAGACTATGATCGATGATTCATAGTCCTTCAGAAGATGGGACATATCCTTCACATACTCTGTCAATTAATACCAGCTTCACTTTCCACAGAGAATTTTTATGATCAGTTACGATGTTTGGTACTTGCATGGATCTGGGTTGTACCATTCACTGGTTATTGGACGGTTTCCAATCTGAGAATGTGCGAGTGACCTATCCACTCTCTTTGGATATTTGTGGCTTGGACGGTTCTCAATTCGTGGCATGTGCAAGCTTGCAGATCATTAGTGATCATGTGACCTTGTTCCTGTACTACTGTTAAGCCATAATCAAACAGGAGGAGAAAACTGCAGATGACTTGTTTTACTTTCGAAAGCTTGTCATGTGATGCGTTACTATGTGGTCAAGATGGCACGTAGGAGCCTTCTAGTACAACAACCATATGAATATCTAGCCATCATGACTTAGACTGATAAATTTCACTTGCTCACATAGGAAAGTACTTAACACGTAAATTACGAAGCCTTCGACACTTCGCACACTTATATAAGAAGTCTTGGCTAATAAGAATGTACGAGCTCCAATTCTTAAAAAGGAAAACGATCACCGAAGAAATTTATGCTTCTTCTGTTGAAGTTTCTTTTTACCTATGTAACGCAAAGTAAAGATAATTCCTTAACCAGAACCAAGCCAAGAATTCAAATGTAATACATTTTAACATGGAAATCAAAGAATGTAATGTCAACAATAATGTATATAAAAAATCAACATATGTAGGATTCTAGATGTTTTATAGATGTTAAAATATAAAAGATAACGTGATACGTGCATAATCCACTAGAATAAAATGCTGATGTTTAATATCCACCTAGCCTTTGCATACTTTCAAGTATGACAGACGACGCCCATTTTGCAATGTAATGCGACCTAGGCAACAATAGCTTCCAATGGATCACCACTGTTTAGTCAATTATACAGTTTGTACGTCATTCACTGCAGCTTCGTCCTGGATATTCAAAGGTGTGAATAAGCTCGGGGTTTTAAGAAGATTTTAACCTTCCTTGTATTTGGCCAAGAGTGGCGGGTGTCATGCATAAACTGCATCAAAGCTTGCTAAGAAACCTTTGACTTCGTAGAAAAGTGAGAGTTTCGTGAACAATTGCAACCATGTGCAACAGATTTTAGCTTTAAAATATTTCCAGATTTTAGACAAAAGGTTTTCAAGATAAAGATGATGAGATAATCATATGCTACCAAAATACTTTGCCTTTAATATTTCCAAATCAAAAGACAGAACACAATGAAACCCCTTAACATGGAAAGAACTAGGACAAACATTAGTAGAGGCAAGGACCTCGTGTCTTTATGCGCATGACGTAGTGCTTGGCGTTTTGAGTGCAACGACCTGAATTGACTCGTATAAATTATTTCTCAAGGGGTTCAAATTTTGGGCTCTTTCTCCCTATATATTATCCAGTATCAAAGATTAATTCTACAACTTAAACGCATCCCACATGTATATATGGAAGTAGTTGGTCGACGTGAAATATACTTTATGATCAACCCAATCCCAATATATTTCAAGAAAATAACTTCGACTCAAAGTCTGCAGGTTTATCTTGTTACTCAAATGATAGTGAAGAATGTATTAGCATGATAAAAGTATTTTTTGCTCCAGTGCAGAATACACGGATTCGATATTCCCCTGAGTACAGTATAATACTGGTGGCAGATTTGGAATTCGTGATAGTCAAGTCATAATTTGGGTTGAAGAATCATAAAATTTGGGTTGAGTCCTTGCCCTCGATGGAATTGAATTCAAGCTCCCTAAGCTATCTTTACACTTTCGATCGAATCTACCGACTACTAGAACACGAGACGAGGTGGGGAGATGTACCCGGATCATGAATTTATGAAATCGAGATGAGTCTGGACAATAATTAAACTGGAGAGATTTATGAATGAGTCCATCAGTACCATATAGTAATTTGGTACTATGCTAAACATGAATTACACCGCCGTAAAGCATGAGTACTGCGCTGAAATGAATCTTCCGCATGGTTCATACTATGCACGTCAAAATGACTGCGTCTGCTAAACGTGAAATCATAATGTTAGGGAATTTTATTATTCAAGCTGGGATCTTCGCTTCTTGGGATCACCACTGTCAACTGCATTTTTTATTTTATGATCAACTAAACTTTAAGTAACCAGTATTACTGCGATAAATACGATGAAATTGTTCTTCATTAGGACGTACTTAGCACGTCGAAACAACTGCGGCTGCTGAGCGCTTCCAGATTATTTCGGAGGTTTGTGTTGTCAACTGAGTCTGCGAGTAATTCGAGCTGAGTCAAGGTTTGGGACCACCGTTATGGAGTGCAGATACTTCATGCACGACAAGACGACAAGTTTTTGGAAAGTAGAAGCGTTCTGCTCTATCCGGTAGCGTTTAAGAGTCGTGGGGTTGTGACTCTGAAAATCTTGAATCAATCTATGCTGACCAATAGCGGATAAGTCTGGGGTGATATCGAAATGCTCTCATAGGATAAACAGCGCAAACGGCTTCATTGGTCGATTGAGAGGTTTTCATAAAGCTGGTACGTAAAGTGGTAGACCAATTGTTATGCCAATAGCTGCGCAGCGTCGGTCGATGCAAATTGCAAACCTTTCTTCTAGCGCTTGTATAATCTGGCTCGAGAGTGAGTCTGCTCGTAATATATGACGTTTGGTAGGATCATCTCTCTTGCTTCAGATGCAAGAGAGCAACTTGCTGCTCTTGTTCTGGCATAATGTGGATCATGAGGCTGTGGACTTCATGGAAATATACGCAGTGGAGTGTGTGAATCATGCGCCATGCTGATTTGCGCCGCATCTCTCAACAGAAACTAGACTTGCTGAAAGCGGTGTTAATTTGTGTACCGGAATGAGGATTGCTGAGCTCTTTTACTCCAACGTCGGTGCGCAGCTTAGTCAACGGACTGGATTTCGAAGAGGATTTTTTCTCATGTTTGTGTCCTAACTTTAGCCGCATCCTCGGCTGTCCTTGCCTATTCCGTATTTGATTTGTTATATCGCTGTTACTCTGGTCTGCGTAGGTTTTTCCAGAAATTATATGGAGCCAGGTTGACGTCGAGTCTATGATGAAAGCACATCAGAGTTATTCATTTCTTGAGCTTTAGGAGCTTGAGCTTTTCGTGCTTGACTTTTTTGAGGTGCACTGCCTAATATGAATTGTTTATTTTTGGGCACAGCTGAGAGTATTCGGACTCTGCTGTTGGCGTCAAAATGGAGACAACTTCGAAAATTCTAGTGAGGATGAAATTTCTGAACGAATACAAGGTGACGGTAGCAGTGAAGCAAGACGAGCAGCACTTCTCGTCCATGGCCGATTTCGAGAAGCTTCTTTTTGAAAGCTTTCCGAAGTCGAAGGAACGATGTCAGAACCTACAATTGCCCTCCTCCCAGCTGGAGTTGCAGTACGAGGATGAGGACGGTGAAAGAATTTCCATCGACAGCGACGGAGACTTGAAAGATGCTATCGACTGGGACAGAGGCACAAGTTTCAAGTTCCGCATAACATACAAGAATCCAGAAGTTGATGGACCGCAGCCAACACCTCCTGGTGGTGGCAGCAGTTCATCAACTTCTTCCCGCCAAGAGACACGATGCAAGGAGCCACCTCTTCCCTCTCCTTGGGTTCCAACACGAACCTCGCGTGGAGGAACCCGAGGATGGGCAGACCCAACTGAGGGCAGACCTCAAAACATATATGAACTTTCCTCTTGGAGATCAGCGGAAGGGACTACGAGTTTTGGAAGATCAGCAGCTGAGAATTTCAGCATAGATGAACTTTCCTCTTGGAGATCAGCAGATCAGACTACGAGTTTCAGAAGATCAGCAGCTGAGAATTTCAGCCCTCTTGGTGGCAGGCTCAAAGCAGGAATCTGGCTCACGAATCGAGCTAATCAGTCAGCGAGACAGAATATAGTGAACATCAGAAATAAAGTGGGTTTTTCCATGTTTTTCCATGATTGATTAGCCAGAAGTCGTCTCACTTTTGCTTGGAATGTTCCGATTGAGCACACTTAGAATGACACTCGCGATTTGCATTCTGCAGGGATCGGAATATCTCGCCATTCCACTCTTGCCAAGTCAAGAGGAGCTATTGCAGTCTGGCCTGCCCAGCCATTTACCGGTGAACCAGGTGGGCATGAAGTATTCGAATGTGAGTGACTACCTGGGAACTCACTACCGTCTTCTTAGAGAAGATTACATCCATTCCCTGAGACAGGGGATCCAGTCTTTCAGAAAGCAGCAGATGTCAAGAGAGGTCCGGGTAAACCATGAAGCAAAATTCGTGACATATGATTGCGGTTGGGACGGCGTGGATTGTGTCATGTCGTTCCCGTTCAGGAGAAAAGCAGTTGGGTCAGAGTCAGACGAGTTAAAGTATGGTGCTCTTCTGTGCATCTCTGCAGACGGATTTCAAAAGTCCTACCACTTCGGAGTTGTCAGAAAATGCTCTCGCAAGATCAAAGGAGCGAGCAAGGTTTGGGTCCGAGCTCTGGGCACGTGGAGCGAACGTTTTGATTTCGATTCGAAAAAAACCTATGTCATGGTAGAATCGACAACAGCTTTCTTCGAAGCGTATCATCATGTCCTGAAGGCGTTGCAGAGAGAAGAAATGAAAACTGTTCCATTTTTGAAGTACCTCGTTCACTTGGAGCGACATATTGATCCTCCTTCATACCTGCTAGGAAGTCCGGACATGGACAGGTTTGACTTCCAATCAGTCTTCCCTGAATTGACGACCCATTTCGGCACGAGTATAATCCACACTCTGCAAAAATGGCCGCAGTTGTGTACCAGGCTGGATGCGGCGCAGTGGCAGGCTCTGGAGCATGGCTTGACGAAGGAGTTGTCAATTATCCAGGGCCCTCCAGGCACTGGTAAGACTTTCATTGGACTTCTGATCGTGAGGCTCATGCTGGCCAATCTGCCGCTGAGGGGTTCCACAGAGACTGAGAACGGGGCTAGGAGGGAGGGGCCGATTCTTGTGATCTGCAAGACGAATCATGCTCTGGATCAGTTTCTTGAGGGCATCAAAGAGTTCGAGGATAAGTTGATACGAATTGGTGGAAGGTCCAAGTCCAAAGTACTGGGATCCCGGAATCTGAAATATTTACGTAAAGAGTTGCGCCATAGCATCGATCCAATTCTCCTCGGTGCTCGTAAAGATATTTCAAGGCAGAAGCTTGAAATAAAGTCTGAAATGTGTGCTCTGAACGACCTTAGGAAATCGAAATATTTGGGGAAAGAGCAACTCCGAGAAATCGCTCTTGAGCAACAAATGGAGTCTCTTTTTCCATGTGGTTACGATCATGAGAAATCCGTTCAGGATTGGCTAGAAGGAGCTTTCCGTCCTCTGAAACGTTCGGAACGTCGTAATGTACCTGCAGACGATACTTGTCGAGAACATCGTGACAGATTCACATCACAGGTTTCTCAAGAGAAGGGGGAAGAGTTGGTGGTAGAAGGTGAAGACAAGGACTGTATTCCAGATCCACGCCAAATGAAGAGCCCGCGGTCTAGTCGCAGCGAAATCGTGATGCAGGATTTTGAACTGACTGTCCTTACACAAAATATGGCCAACATTGAGTTGGCAGCAGAAAGAGCTGTTCATCCAGAAGACGATGTTGTAGAAGGCAAAGGCGATGATCATGTGAGCTGCAATGTCGAATGTGCAGCGGGCCTTCCTTCAGACGTCCATGTTGATAATGACTCGGACGACGCTCGGGGTGAGCTGCGAGGTGACCTACAAGAGGGCGCCCACGACAATGAGCCCCAGCTGGCGGACTTCAAGGACATCCACAATGTTTGGGTGTTGCCTTTGTGGCAACGAAGAATTCTGCACGATCACTGGATGGAATCGACGAATCTGAAGATCCGAAAGCAGATCAAGGGACTATTACAAAAGTATGAGGAAGTTTGCGAGGAGGTCTGCGAGCTGGAAATGGAAATCAAGCTCACCATTCTCCGAAAAGCCAACGTCGTGGGGTTCACCACCACTGGTGCTGCAAGGGATCGTGATTTGCTGACGTCTCTGAACTCAGAGATTATTATCGTAGAAGAGGCAGCAGAAGTACTCGAGGCTGAAGTTCTGGCGTGCGTGACTTCTGCGGTGAAGCATCTCGTGTTGATCGGTGATCATATGCAGCTACGTCCTTCGACTGCAGTCTACAAACTTTCGACGGAGAACCGCCTGGACCTTTCCATGTTCGAGCGTCTCGTGCGAGGTGGAGTTGAACACGTGACGCTGCGAGAGCAAAGGAGAATGAGACCATCATTTTCCAAGCTCGTGAAGAGCTTATATCCAACGCTCAAAGATCACGAGTCTGTCTCGCAGTACGAGCATGTCAGGGGGCTGGGCTCAGATCTTTGGTTCTTCGATCACACAGCCAAGGAACAGGAGCAGACGCTTACCTCTTCCAGGGTGAACGCAACGGAGGCAAGGCTGGTTGTCGAACTGACTATCTATCTAATGAAACAGGAATGCTACAGCGCCTCGGAGATCACCATTTTGAGTATGTACGCAGCTCAAATTTCGGAGATCGACAAGCTCCTGAAAGAGAGGGTGGCCAAAAGGTTCTCTGTAAAGAAGAAGTCTAGGCCCAGAGGGAAGATGAAAGAACAGGAGGACGGAAAGGCGGATCGTATACGCTCGACAGATGGAGACGTTCTGATTCCTCAAGTCAGAAGCGTCGACGGATTCCAGGGAGAAGAGAGCGACATAATTATCTTATCTCTGGTGAGAAGCAACAACGTCCGATCGGCAGAGGGAGAGGGAACCATCGGGTTCCTAAGGACGTCCAATCGAGTCTGCGTAGCGCTCACGAGGGCCCGAAAGGGATTGTACATATTTGGCAACGCTGCGCTTCTCGCCGCAAGGAGCACCTTGTGGAGAGAGATGATCGACGGCATGCGTGCGGATGGCGTGCTGGGCTCCGAGCTGGAGCTCGTATGCCAAAACCACCCGGACACGAAGACAGTCGTCGCCAAAAAGGCGGACTTCAAGCAGGTTCGCGACGGAGGCTGCTCGAGACCCTGCGCGACGCTGCTCGACTGCGCGCACCCGTGCCCGAGGCTTTGCCATCCCGGCTCCCACGAGCACGTGATCTGTCCGAGGCCGTGCCCGATCGCCCGCGAGGCCTGCGACCACGACTGCGCGCTCCGATGCCACCACGGCGACCCGTGCCCTCCCTGCCCGGTCACGGTCGTAAAGACCCTTCCGACCTGCGGCCACTCTCAACTAATGCCGTGCCACCGAGACCCAACGGTCGAGATCTGCCGGACGCCTTGCGCGAAGGTCTTGACGTGCGGCCACAAATGCGACCTTGAGTGCGGCAGTCCGTGCACCGTCGACTGCGCCGTTCCCGTTGTGAGGACCCTTCCTACCTGCGGCCACTCTCAACGAATGCCGTGCCACCGAAACCCAACGGTCGAGATCTGCCGGACGCCTTGCGCGAAGGTCTTGACGTGCGGCCACAAATGCGACCTTGAGTGCGGCAGTCCGTGCACCGTCGACTGCGCCGTTCCCGTTGTGAGGACTCTGGACTGCGGACATGAGAACGTGATGCCATGCAGCGCCGATGCGGGATCGTACGGCTGCACGTGGCAGTGTGGAGCCGGACTGCCGGACTGCCAGCATCGGTGCCGAGGGACGTGCGGACGACATCGACGAGTGCCGTCGGCGTCTGCCGTGTGGCCATGCCTGCCGAGCGTGATGCTCCGTCCCCTGCCCTCCGTGTCCAGAGAAATGTCGAAACGCTCACAAGAAAGTCGAGGACGTGAAGAAGGAAATGTTTGTCTAGGAAAGGGTGAGGGTGGGACGAAAGGAAACTTGAACGAACGGACTTTGTTGGAACTCTTCACAAATTCCAGACAGCCTTGACCGAGAATCCAACGATGATGGATGCCCACTTTGGAGTAGGATTGGCATAATGTTTTGTTACTAAAATACCACAGTTCAAGCGAACTCTTAATTTTCCTGGTGAATAGTGTATATAAACTTATGCAATATATTATCTTTGTTTTTTAAAGTATAATAAACTCATATCGTTATTAAAAGTTAATTTTCAATTAAAAGCCAACAAAATATACTATGAGGCTATATGTGACAATGCTAATCATATTATTATCAGAATGATAAGAATAGCTTTATCACTTAATAGTTGAAGAGTTAAGAATGTCAACAACACGATGTCACATGATTATTTTTCGTAGGAAAACTTGTGGATGTATGACATAGCATATGTTATCAAAATCTCATGCATTGTTGTATTCTATTCCGAAATAATGCAATATAACTACAACCTAAAATTTTCAAGTAAAATCCTAGCATTAAATTTTTCTGCTCTAATGAATAGGTTAAGGTTGTGATTAATATTTCAATTGAAATTCTTCTTTGAAACTTCAATCCCCTATTTTGATCATTTGTATATGTTTTCTTGCATGCACTTCATGGCAAAAGATGTTTGAAGGATAATTGAGTTGTTGAAAAGTTGGGTTTGTGGAAAGTTAGCATGATTTTTTGTTTACAGTAGGGAAAATGTGGTCCAATGAAGAAACATAGGTTAGAATTCAAAGACATTGTATAAGATTAGTGTGCGCGGAACACACAGGTTGAGTGTTACTTTCTGACACCAGATTATTCAAATACGAACTGTGTGATTTAGTCTTTAGAAGCAAGTACAATAAAATCACAGTTGCACCTTCTCTTTGTTCATGTAAAACAATTTTTTTCTAAACACCATAATATGGATCTTATTTTATTGTAAACGTTCGAAGGCATGATTGTATGAAAGTATTTGACCGTCGCGCTAAGGACAGAATGACCTCAATTTTAGTAAATCTGGAAAGGATTATACAAACAGTTATAATGTGCCCGAAGTTCAATTTATGTGTATCAGCTAAAAGTTCAGTGTTACGACTATATCGTGGAAGGATATTTAAAATACCATCAAGAGAAAATGAATCCACATTGGAATTAAAAGTATGTATAATCGACTATACTTGAAATCATGACTTCATTCCTGATCTCCTTACAAGTTTCATAAAGATATGAGATTTCTAATACCAAGATTAATTCTTAATAAAAAAACATATTTTCATGATGTGAAAACCGAATTTATCACAAAGAAGATTGTTTTTACGCGTGAAGATTTATCTTCTTATAGAGAAATAAATATTCTAACAAAAGCTATGGATATATATATATATATATATATATATAAAAAAATCCATAGAATATAAAAGATTCTATACTATATGTCTATTGATTTACAATATATTTCCAAGTCCTAGATACAGCTTTGACATACTGAGCATGACAATACTATAATTGCCCATTCTTCATTGAAATCTTTGAAGGTCTTTTCATCATGTATTTGATTCTTGAAAATGTGCAATCCTGCTCGAAATGACTTCCTTTATCTGGATTTTGCTAGATTGAAAGTTAAATTACATACATAAATTTGCTTTCGCCAAAGATTATAGGATTCATGATCTAAGACCCGTTGCATGTTTTGCATCCTGACTTGATCTCGCAAATCTACCCAAAGATCTGACTGGAAAGAAATAAAATAGAAGATTATCCAACGGTAAAGTATGTCTTTCATTAAAAACAATTTCACGCACAAGTGATTTTGAATATACGTCATGCACTAAATCATAACTGATTCTGTATATGTGATAGACCATTTTCCTTCATCTATAGATTCAAAACACCCACAAAAACTCAATCTAAAACACATAACTCATCCACTTCTATGTTCGATATAACAAATATGTGTAAAATCTTTCCAAGCTATAATCAAATTGAGCTCCCTCCCTCTCTAGCGTAAAATCAAGATTTGAAAGAATCTTCATTGTCAAGACATATATAGCTCAATGATCTTGGTGTATCCACGATTTGTAACGCCAATCTTCCAGTGATATTTTAAACAATTCCATTGTAAAGTTAGTGTGCAATCTCAACGATATAATCAGAACTTGTCACCAACCAAAACTAGATTTGGTCACAAAAAAGATTTTGAAGTTTGTTCCAAATTGATCCAATCTTGTCGAAGGCTCAAATGATCTTGTGTGTTCGTGCGCTTGACTACTCTGATAAATTACATGAATTGCATGACATCCGACTATCAGCACTAAATTTTGCACATTATCGTTTCTGTGTGAAACAAATCTACTTTGTCAAGAAAAGAGTGAGTTGTAAGGAGTGAACCCCCTGTTCAAAATAAAGAGGGAAAACATGGATGTAAAGAGGTGGATTCCTTCACATGCGGTGCATCCAATCGGCACAGCTCTCTGGAACGGTTGAGGTATTAAACTGATCCTTCCTTTTCTCTGATAGTGATGAAGACAAGAGACGTGATTGCTCCTGTGAGACGTCAAGAAGGATTTGGGGCGTTAGGCGAACTACTTCTCTCCCAAGGACGACTGTGAAACATATTCCAGTTTTAGAGACCTTAGAGAGATCAGACTCGAAGTTATCAGATGACTTCCTTCCCGGCAGCGCGTAAGCAATCTGTGCATCGAGAGGTGGTTCTGTAATTGCACGATTCAAATGCGAATTCCAGATAAAATGGTAGAAATGCGTCAAGGCGAGTGATGTCCTGTTTGCTCAAGCGAGAAGGCGATACCTCGGTCCGGACTGAACAATCAGTGGCCAGAACCTCGACATTGAATGCTTTTCAGCACGTTGTCTTTACGCAAGCACAAGGCTCGAAGCATAGCGGCAAACTCCGTCACTGCGGAGAAACGTTATTGCGCCGATGTCAAGGTGGCGGAGACGGAGAGCAGGCCTTACTAGCCGAGAGTCGCCATCGAAACGATCTCAATAAGTGAGCTAGCACCGCCCACAGCTCGGCATTTCGTTGACAACTCTACTTCAGGACTTGCGACAGTCCCTCCGATGCCGGTGAAGATAGTCCTCTGCTTGTCATTGGGGTGAAAGTGTGTTGCTGATGCTCGACATGCTTTCACTGCCACCATAAACCTTCTATAACGTAGATATGAAGACCGGGCCTTCCGTCCATTTTGCTATTTGGAGAGACCGTTCTAGATGTAGTAAAAAGCATGAAGAAGAAAAAAGGCCCAAAAATATTTTCATGGCCCTGTGACATTAGGCGCATTGCAGTTACCACTAGGTAATTGCAATGTAGTTTAAGTACATACTAATCTAAAATCTTCTAGCACTTTTGAGAACTACATAGAAAAGTGGTTTTGAGCCTGAAACGAATTTGAACTTAAGAGGTTTTTTTATCCATATAAAAGTCTAAATACATGTTTATCAACTAAAGGGATTCGATTTAAGTGCCATATATGAAGAAAATAACGTCCAGTTTTTCAAGTATAACAGCTGCGATCAAAATAATACAACATACAATACATCAAGACAAGACGTATGACGTTCCACGTCTGGACTGAACACTAGGCATGACTATCCGCGCTGACAGCCGCTGATACAAGTTCTGATGCATGATGCTTCTATTAGTGCTTCAGCACTGTGATCCACTGTTGTGTGTATTGTGCTTGACGTGTTCTCCTACTTGGAAGGCAACAACGATTCACTTTGACTGAGAAGATTATGATTAGTGTGGGTACACACCAAGCATCCAGAGGTCTGCATAAGCATAATTGACCTCATGTTTTTCTTCGCGCCATTCGGAGAAATAAACCCTCCCATACCTCCAGATGGCAGAGACGAAGCCTCAGTGAAAATTATCTATGAGCAAGGCCGATTCTGATTTCACTTGTTCCCTCACTTTTTTGCACGTATCGTTTCATCTTTATTTCCTGCATAACTCATTCCTCTTTAACTTCTTCCTCGTTTCCTTAAAAGTACGATATTGAGAATTCCAGTAGCACTCATGATTTATGATTTTAGTTGTAGGGTATAACGAAGAAGATAGTTATAACCTGCGTACTGGCTGGAGCCTAACTTAGGCGAGGCCTAATAATATTCAATTAGGCTGAAACGATGAATTTCATGCTGAACATAGCGCTCTTTACATGGCGAAGTCTCATCCCCCAAAGTTCCATGCACTTACGTCAGATCATTGTTTGCATTGAACGAGTTGAACATTTATGGCTAGAATATAATGCATAAATATATATATTACCGTAATCTCCCGCCAACAGACAATAAAAGAGATTTTTGATACGATTCGCAAAACAAGACGCGTCCGGTGATCCATGAAATATGCTTCACATGTAGTTTTATCTTCAATGTACTCCATTGGCTGTACAATGATATGCATGTCCCCCCTAACAAAGGATCATCTGGAAATGATTGGGATATCAAGATTCCTATGTTAGAACTGAAGTCAAAGGTGATGAGAGGCCTAATGCACATGAGAACAAAGCAAGCAGTTAGTACCGCTCACTGAATTTGGAGGTATTTCAGATATGAAGAGGTTTAATATGCTGCCGTCCAATGCTGCCTATAAGAATATAACGACATACTGTGGTCATGAGTCCAAAATTCGAAAGAGTGTAGACAATCCCCGGCAACGATATAAGAATGTCAACTGAAGCAAGCCTGATATTCATTTCCATGAGGCAACTGACTGAATCCTTTTTCGAACAATCTTGTGTGATTCGTGTGTACACGGGAATGTGAAGCATGAGAAATAGAATTCAGTGACTGTTTTGCGAGGGAAAATCATCGTTTGGATAGACGCTGGGTTGTTTAGAGAAATGTTCATCAAACTAGAAGGTATACAGACACATATATGGGCCGAGCATCAGACGACAACTGATGCATTGTCTCCAGATACTGGATTATTAATAGCTATGGCGAGGGACCCGCAGATGGCCTAAGAAGTGGCGGAAACTGCAAGTCGAGCGTCATGCTTCGGTCCCGGAATGCTGTTTATTCCAGATGATTAGGAAGCGGCTGGTAAGAGCCCAGACCAACTGACTCCTAGCGATCTCCAGGAGGAAGGAGGAGCGCGCAGGAGAAGTCTGCGAATTGTGTGATCAGGTGAACTCTTGTCTGAGGCAGGCGAAGGTGAGGGCCTTGATGTTCCAGCCGTAGCCATGCGGTCTGAACCTGGGCACGACAGTCACGGTGATGTCGGTGTCCCAGTCGGTGACGCCCAGCCTCTTCAAGGCCAAGGAAGTGCTGAAGCGAATGTTGAGAGTGCGGTACATATCGTCGTCCTCGACGTGCACCAGCTTCTGACCCAGGTCCGTCACGGTCGTCACACCGCTGGGGAGGTGAGTGAAGGTGCCCACGTAGGCCGACTCGTCCTCGTCCGTCTCGGCCGTGGCCGTGGGGGAGTCGAGGAAAACGTCGAAGCGCACATACATGAGCTCGGGCACGCGCACGTGCTCCAGCACCACGCCCTCGCTGAGCTGATTGACGTTCTGGGCCTGCGTGCCTCGGAGATCGCCCGCGGTGGGAGCCCGGCGTGTGAGCTTGAAGCTCGTGGGATGCCTTGCGATGGCGTTGCTGGTGCTGACCCTCACGTCGCTGCGTTTGTAGCTGGGCTTGGTCCCGTTGGGCTTGTGGTTTATCCACAGGCTGTCTGCTTCGACCATGGGCTGGTACGTGTAGCCCAGCTTGCGGCTGTCCAGCGTATCCTTCACCTTCACGATCACCATGTCTGCGTTCTCGTCGTAGAATGTGAACTCCGTCTCCAGGAAGTCGTAATCGTCGTAGTCCCTGCGGACCCTGTGCCCGTCAGGAGTGATCTTGTCCGGAAGAGCTTTCCAGACGTTCCACAGACGGTCGACGTTGGCGTGGTGCGAGTAGAAGATCGGGTCGCGCCCTGCGTACGTGAACACGCCCATGTCCTCGTTGTCGGGATAGGCCGTGTTGTTGAGCATGCCCACCCATTCGTGAGCAGTGTTGTGCAGCGATTCGGAGCCGCCGGACTCTCCGACGGTGACGTTCACAGCCTCCGTGAAGTTGGAGCTGGTGTCGTACGGACCTCCCATGTACTCTCTGGCGCTCACCTTGTTGTACACCATCTCGTAAACCTGACCCAGGTTGGCGTGCCTGATCTGGTCGTGAGTCCAATTTGCCCGCTCCTTCTCGAGCGATGCATCGAAGGTGAGCGGAAGAACCTTCGGGGGCATGTGGTTGGGGTTGCGGCGTTTGCCCTCGTACAGGAACGTGTTCCTGATCTTTCCATGGCGTCCGTGCTGTCGAGGCCATCTAGTGGACTGCTGGTAAGGCAGGAAAATCTGAGGAATTTGGCCCGCGGTGGCGTCCAGCTGGTTGTCCCAGTTCCAGAACGGGAGAGTGAAGTCGGGGTCGTCGATGAGACTGCCCAGAATCTTCTCGTGGAAGTAGATCAGCATCCTGTGCCATGGGAGGAAGGTCCAGCTGTAGTGCAGTTGGAGGGGATATCCTGTGGCCGAGTTATTCAGCCTTCTCTGAAGGTAAGCCTCTTTGCAGAAGGAGCAGTGAGTGTGCCATTGTCTGAGAAAGCTCCTGGGATCGTCAGCGGGCAGCGCGTTCATTCTCTCGTAAGCCAGGTTATACTTGTTCACGTACTCCACATCGTTGGCCAGCTCATGCGCAGGCCTGCGCACGCGCAGATGGTGCACGCGGGGCAATTGGAACCTTTTGGGATCTCGCCGTGGAGCCGGAAGACAGCACTGCACGCTTCTGTCTCTCTCCTCCGCTGTTGCCTCCAACCGCACGGGCTTGCAGAAGCCCACGCTCGAGGCCAGGACCGGATCCGCACTAGCCGGCTGCGCTAGATATTGCAGGACTAGGACGATCGAGCACATGAAGGAGGCCCAGAGGAGCTTACGACCTGCCGCCGTGACGCCCCTGCTTGCACTGCTTCTTCCCCAGCTTTCTTTCTGCATCGGACGTTCCCCCATCTTGACAGCTACGTTGAAATTGCAGATGATAGAGAGATTGAGAAGCCAGTCGAAGGGAATCCGCGACTCATACAGCCATGGTACGTACCTCACCTGAACATACGATCAATTCCGAGCTATCAATTCAGACGCCCTCCACAGAAATACTTCTACTACTTGGATTTATTCCATTTCAAGCAATGGGAAACATAAACTTTGGCAATCACTAGTAAATCACGAGGCGGCTAGAAAACTATCATTCCTTCCCACTTCAGGCTGGTGGTGAAGAATGTGCTGGAAGTCTATTCGAATATGCAAACTGCAGGAAGATGTTCGCTTCAAGAGAGTTCTCTCAAAGTCCAGCTCCTCGTTGAAGAAAGAACTTCTGTCGTCCAAATTGCCGGGTTCCCCACAAACGATTGCCGCTAGTCTGAGTGAAGGGTCAACAACAAACTCACAACAAACTCATCATGGAGTACCTGAATTATGTGCGTAGAGCAGCTCGCAGCTTTCAAGTACCAATGGATGGGGACCGAATATACTCAAACCGAAGAAGACGTATTTCCAACTTCTGTCCTCTTGAATGTACAGACAGTGATTGTGAAGTGCCTCGTGCGGGTACAACTCAAGACTGAGCCTGCACAATGCTCCGATGAAATGGAAGTACGTGAAATCTCTGTATAAGTACTCAATGCGAATTATAAAGACAAGAGACAATCATCATCATGGATATGCGTTACAAATCAAAGGCGGAAGCCTTTAAGTTGTAATATCTCAACTTCAAGTTCGTGTAGCCAACAACCAACAACTGTGCTGGGACAAATTTCAGAAACTTTGGTCTGCATCACCGGCAAGATTGCGAGTGCCTCAATGTTGACGATAACCAGTTGACTGAGAAGTGAATATAATGAGGTTTTCCTTTGACCAAGGCCACGATACTACTCAAACCGAACGATTCGAGTCCCCACGTATTATTGCATCTGCGAAGGTGTTATGCGAAGAAAATCCCCTGTCTTACACCAGAAAGGACAGCCGAGTACATAGCACGGCCTCCGTCGACGTCCTAATTTGGAAGCATCTTAATCCGATCAAATCCACACCTTCCCTGGAGTAGAAAAGGTGGCATGATTAGCTCAGACACGATTCAAAGTCTACACCAACATCTCAATGCTTCTTTGTCCTGGCGATGTGAAAATTGCGTGTCAACGTTAGCTTGGAGTCTCTCGACGCAATACTTCACATCTGTGTGATTGACATAGTCTGACATCTCTATCAACCACATTGCGGAGACCATTTAAAACGAGTATGATTGGTTTAAACCAAATCATATCATGATTATATTGATTTATAATTCCTTGCTTTCATTATATTTACACTTATGATTCGTATGTTTGGGTATAAATTAGATCTCAAGAACTCTTTTATCCGTTTTGTAATTTCATGTAAAAAACTTATACATTTTAGGTCACATGATTTTCCACAATTGATTGTTGTGTTTTGAAATTTTTAACTTTTAATTTACCATGTGTATATGTATTATGATTTTTTTAATGGTTTCAATACATCCAATAAAAATATTTTTCTTATTTTTGTAAAATGAAATTATACACATATCTCACATAATTGAAAAGATTCATAATATATAATTTGAAAATTAAATTGAAATTATGAGATTAAGAAATAAACAACTGTACTTCACATTTACCAAAACGTTAAAAGAATATAATCTGTCATCCTCATTCATTTAATTATTGATAAATTGAATTTTCAAAAATTATCATTGTGAACTCATAACTTTCTAGGTTTAAATTTTTAATCAATATAATAACTTGTAAATTTAAATCAACATTTTAAAATACATTTGTGTTTCATATAATTTACCTAAATAACCTATGACAAGTATACTTCAATAAGTAAAAAATAACTACAAATTCATTGTTACTTAAATTCAACATCTATATTGTCTACACATTTGAATCTTGTTAAATGTCAAAATTGCATGTGATAGCATGATTTACGAAATTATTTTTTTTTCAAAATTGTAATAAAATGAAGTTTGAGACAATTAAGTACAAATATTCAACACTTTATTCGAACTTACAAGAATAGTTTATGCATCTTAAGTGAATACTACAAAATTATGACCTAAAATGGTATGGTTATTCCTTGATTTTTAATATCACCAATGTTCAAGACATTCATCTTTGTCATTTGATTTTTAACTCAATCACATAAATTGAATATTTTGCCTTTTGTCAGCTGATTTATAATTTCTGATCTAAGTTTGTTGTTTACAACCGTATAGTTGTTAGTTATTCATCATCAAAAGTTGAGAATCATCAAATTACACAAAAATCTATGATTTATTTGTACATTATTATATAAATGAAAACATTAAAATGCTTGCTTAAAATTTTAAAATTCTTGTCATTGAAAGCTAGATGTAACCATCTTTATTTAGTTACATTTAAAGTAAAAATTATTCTAAATATTGATATAGATACTTTAGCGTGCACTAGTCACAGCTGCCACGATCCACGCGTTTGATAGGAAAAGGATAGATGTGTTAGTCGAGAGCGTCACGTCAACAATCCATGCGCTTGTTAGATAAGAAATGAGTGTGTTAGTTAGTATTTGTTGGTAACGCAACGTCAACAATCAGTGTGCTTGTTAGGGTTACTTGTCTCGTCATCCATCCACTAGAAATGAAATGGATGGTAGAGATTAGATTTTATCTCCTTGTACTTGTTGGTGATTATATAAGAAATAGTATAACCATTGTTAGTATCACTCATCTTCAGAATTTATGTTTCCATCTTTGAATGAATTTCTCTCCAAAGCATAGTGTTATATTAGAATATACTCTCTTATGTAGTTAGCATCTAACAAGTTTACATACTTTTACTTCCACTACATAGAGATAACAACTTGAATAAGCTCATAACGATATACTTTTTGCATCAATTTTAGATTTGTAATGTAAGTCTTCATAAATTTTCTCAATGTTTGCAATCATTGCAAATGGATCAAAAATATTTAATTTCTGCCATTATCATAATAGATGTTAATTGATGTGGATTTCAGCTGTGTAAAATATCTTTTGAAAAAATAATCAAAAGTGATATATTTTCTAGTGACCTAAATTCGGTGAAGCTTTTTTTAAGCTTCAAGAACAAGCATAAGATTGGAAAATTTTAGTTTCTATGATTTATGTGTAGATGAATTCATGAGTAAAAGCTTGCTCCATTATATTGTACTTGGTATAGAAAAAAAACTCCAAAAATTGTAAAATCATATAATTTTGATGTACAAAAGCCAAAAAAATGAGTCATTTTAATTTTACTAAAAATTTACATTTTTCGTGTAAATTTAAAACAAAAAACACATGATTTAAGCTTACAAAATATAAGAATATTGCTTTTGCAATATTCATAAATAATGTCTCACACCAATCACAAGGATCTCAAGTATTACATGTTTGTGAAAGTGTTGAATCGAAGACAAACGCATTTCCGCATATAAATATCACGTTTCAACTTATTCATCATATATAGATCTTGTTTGCAAAATGTTTGCTTTGTGAAAAACTTAAATTGTGTCAGAAGAAGAAAATGCAACATAAGATGAACATCAATTCTATTAAAGCTTGAAAAATTTTAAATCTGAATAATGCTCACTATAACTTAGGTTGATAAGCATTTGTGCAAGAAATTAATGTAAGTCTAATCTTTGATCTTTTGGCTTTGAAATTTAAAAGTCAGATTAAATAGTTTGCTTTAAAATATTTCAAGTCATCAGCTCTTGAATTTTTCATTCTAAGTTTATATATTTGAAATCGCCATATAAAACTACTCTTGAATTCATTCATTTATACATTTCATAAAATTCTTCGACTACGTATTGTAGTTGTTTCATTGACTAAATACAATCACATTATATTTTTAAATAACTATATCTGATAAATTAAATATCAAATTGCGATTTCTTACTTTTAAAATTACTAATGTTAAATCATCAGCTTAACAAAAATATAAAAAAAGACTCTTGAAATTGAAAATAGACTAAAGATATATGATATTGACATTTTTTTAAATGGATTTGAATGAAATTAGACATGAATATCATTAAAACTTGCAGTGATATGTTTTAGGATAACAAATCTTTAGAAAAATTTAAATTTTTTTAAATTTATTACAATGATGAATTAAAAATTAATTTTTTGAAAAAATATAGAATAATGAATAAATAAATAATAGAAAAAATAGATCAAGTTTTAAAATTCTAAAAAAACTGCATAAAGCAATTTTTTCATCACAAAGAAATTTAGTTTGCAAATAATTCTAATGCTGCTAAAATTTTAAACTAGAATGTGATCAAAATAATTTTTTATGGACATGGTTTAACGCATGCATACATTAAATTCATTACATTTTTAATTGATGATGAACTAAAATATTCATAAATTTCAAATGTAAATGCAAACGTGTATATATTTTAATATTTACAGAATTTACGATTTTTTGTTTATAAATTACACAAACATATTCTTAATTTGAAATGAATGAAAAAAATAATTCCTTTAATTTTTCATTAATTCCATCACTACAATATCTAAATAATGGTTTTCTAATAATTTTTTTTTATATATATATATATATATATTACTGTTATTATCACTTATATACATTTAACAAGGAGATTTAAAATAAAACAACAGTATTGGGAACAAAACATTGGGAACATAATTAAGATGATAAGTTGTTCATGACGGAGATTCATCATAGGCCATTGATCTTTCTAAAATTTCAAAAAATTATGTTTGGACAACAAATTTATTAGATAGAATGACGTCAACGTTCAATCATGAAGATTGTATAGTTGGAGATCAAGAGTCAACTTGCAAATGCTTCAACATGCATGTCATGCTTCAATCACGTTATAAAAGCATAAATTCAAGCTTCAGTCTGTCATTTATGAGCAATATTTTTTTAAAAATATCTAAAAATTCATTATGAGTGTTTTGCGAATTGCTCGCAAGAAAATAGTTAGTATCTCTAGATCATAAGATCACTACAATCTAGAAAGACATAGAAGTCTTGAGATTTGACATTTCACAAGCAATCTATATCAATTTTGCAAGATCAAGAGTTAAGCACAATAATTTTATCATTAAATCATGATGTGGTAGTAGAGATAAAGTTGAAAAACATACTTTAAGAGAAGTATTGATGTAAAATATGCAAGGATGTGGAGTATTAAGTTAAAAGTTGTATAGCTCGTGAACAAAACAAGTCTAAGTGTTTAAAAATTAGCTTGTTAATTAGAAAATATTCTATTTTGAAAAGACTATGATAATATGAATCTATGAACTTTGTATGTGAATTATTCAAAACTTTGTTTTAAAATGATTTGATTGTGGTTTTTTGTAATATCCCACCAAAGGCTAAAACTGCAATATAGGAGTAAAAAGGTCCAACCCACAAGGACAGAAGCAACACACAAAGTACAAAGTGTCACGTTTAACAGACTATTGAAGAGTTTGAATTCTCACGCGACTGTCACTCCCAGAAATACTGCAAGTGCTCAACTCGGAGGTCACTCGGAGGACGCAGAGTGCAGTGTAGTTCACTCAACACACACCTGAAACTATAGAAACACAACTCAGAGGTCGGTTAGGACCTCTACTTAAGATTTCAGGGGGAAAGTTTCTCACGAGTACATT